CCATATTGTCTCGAATAAAACACATACTTGATTAATATGAATTAAAATTAACGTTTAATGCGGCGCACCTGTGCCGAGAAACATAAAGTAACAACTTTGACGGTGATGGATAGACACTGACTCAAGCAGCCATGCGAAGATTTTTTTTTTTTTTTGTAAGCGCGTGGGTATTTAAAGGTTTCCGAGCGCTAACAAACGGAACAAACAGCGAGTTTCTCGAGTCATCTGGAACATTCCAGCTATGCAAACAATAGAAAGATGAAAAGGACAAGCGCTGGCGGGTGTCAAACCCCAGCCAGCGGCGTGTGAGTCGAGCATACTGCTGACTCAGGTATTCGCACGCGGAAATATTGAGAATGACGTGCACATGTCCTTCCTGTAATCTGTGTAACATTTTTTTTTTCTTATTCGATCAACTTATTAGCAGCTCCTCGGAGGTCACAAAAAGAAAAAATGGGGTTCGTATTCTTTTCTATCTTTAATATTGAACGTGGGCCTTAGATGACCCCCGTCTTTGAATATATTTGCTACACGTAGTTTGAACACCAGGTGACCGTGGAAAAGAAAGTGAGCGCGACTGAAACTGGTCAATTCTCGATCGACTGTTTTGGGGCGAAAAGAAAACAAAATTCGAGCCGCGAATTGTGTTCTGGGTAGTCGGGCTCTTTTAGGTCATGTTCAAACATGGCCGGACTGGAAGCACGCGCTCTCTTTCTTCTTACGGCCTTTGCAATTGGGGCAGTCGCCACCTCCCGCTGCAATTCGCGGGGAGCGCTGTCACCTCACCCCTGGGCTGCTCTTTGCCGTTTGCACAGAGCGCGTCTGACACTGTATCTCAGCGCTGCCGCAACTTGCGGCCAAGATTTTTATAGCCTTTGACACCTGATCCTCACGTTTAGGCCCTCAGCCACTGTCTAATGCGCTTTCGATGAGCCCAAAACGGTGAATATTTGACGCACATCTACGAGAGATTCGGGAGTAAAAAGTAGTAAGTAGAGGCAGCGAATGCAATTGCGGAAACACTATACTCGTCTTTACCTCCAAGACTTCTGCTGCAACTCAAGAACAGGAGGAGACGGACCCCTTCTACGTGGAGGAACTTTAAATGATAAATAATTCGTACACTCTCGTGAAATGTAAGCAGGCCCAATCTATCTATTGCCGTTGTCTGCATCATCACTTCATAAGCCGCACATGAAGTCGGTCAGCTGCTCCAGACGAGGCTGTAGTAGTCTGTACAATTTTTGCACAGTGCATATTACAGCCTAAAGTGCTTCCTCGAGGGCTTGTGCACATATCCAGCTGATTTTTCGTTTTTGTCAGTGACCGTCTTTGCATGGTTAATCAGAAGTATTCTGAGGAACCGTTGCCAAAACAACAACCTACGAAGCTCGAACACCAGCGCAAAGCAGCTCGAAGGGACTCTCCGAGTGGGGTGAAGTGGGGTGAGGTGGTTGCGCCCCTGGCGGCAAGCAAGTGAACTCCATACGGAGAAAAAATGCCATTGACTCCCGGGCGATTGCAAAGGCCGTAAGAAGAGAAAGAGAGAGCGCGCTTCCAGTCCGGCCGTGGTTCAAATAAAAACCCTCGGCGTGCATAAATACCCTGTCAGTGTCCCTTTAAGCCCTTAAATCCGCCCCTGGATGGATGCGTGTGCGTTTATAAGGCGGGCCGGTTGTCTACGTCAATATTATATGAATTCATGAGTCCCCACACTTCCTGATGAACTAACTGCACCAGGAAGTCCAGGATCGCCTTTCTGTGTTGTACTTGCCTCTCGGTTGAGTCCAGACGTCTATAGCTTAGTGAGATCAAACAGCAGCTGACAAGAAACGAGCTACGAACACTAGAACGGCACGAACGATGGCGGGAGTAAAGCGTCTCCCATAAGGAACCCCATTCTGAATTATCATCTTTCTCGCCACTCGCAGCCAAACCGCAACGAGATGACCACATCTCCGAGAAGAAAATAGTCTCCCTTTCAGATCTCTGGCCCGTTGCCAAAGCATTTCCTCGTCGTCCCGACTAGCAGACGAGCAGGTGTTCAAGCGCAGACTCCTCCATCTGTCGTTCCCTTTAAACCGGACCTTTAAATGGGAAGACCGCGATGGGGGGGGGGGGGGGGGGGGGGGGGGGGGGGGGGAAGAAATACGAAGCAAAATAAAAGCCTGTGCCAGCTGGAGAGCAGGCCATGGAAGCGAGCAGTGTCCTCGGCCCGCTTTCGCGGGGGCAACCACTCTGGCTACCCTCGGGGATGGAGATACACAAAGGCAGGTGGGGGACCGCGCTGCACCGGGGATAGCGCGCGCGTTGCCATGATTACGGACGTCGACTGCACCTGGCACTCTCCAAGGGGAGGGCAAGGCGGCGGGCGAGGGCGGGTGTAAAAGACTATTTCTGAGCATAGATGGCAGCACTCTGCAATCACCTATCACGTGACGCGAGTAGATAAGTGCACACGGCTAAATATTTTGAATTAGGTGGTGACTTGCGCCATGTATGCAAATAGCGGTTTCTTCTGTGAAATTGTTCTCTGTAACGGAGGAGATCAATGAACGAGTTTACGCGTGATCATTCTAGAATTAGTCATACAAAACTGACCGTCTAAACTTTTAATTATTCGTACGCCGATACGGAGATACCTGAAGACAAGCACGGCAACTCAAGAAGGTAGGGCGAGGGAAAGGAAGGCCGGAGAGGAGGAAGCAGACGAAAAGCTGGAGAGAGGGAAGAGGTTTCCCTCTCTCCTCTCTAGTGTACCGTCTGCTTCTTTCTCCCCAGCCTTCCTTTCCCTCGCTCTACCTTCTTGAGCTGCTGCTCCAAGCGACAAACACGCTGAACAGGCGCTCACGTGACTTGGCGCTGGGACTTCCGTCGCTCTTTTTCTCCTTAGTTTCGGTATCTCCTGACTAGGGCGAAGCATAATCTGGCTTTACGAACAGCCGTG